GACTGTTTCTTCACACTTACTACACGTCTGAAGACGAGCTGGGGAACCAGACTCGAAAATTTACGAAATAAAGTTTGTTCATTTTCCCAAAGGACTCATTCTTCTTCGAATTATGTTTCTTGGGATGCCCATCTTCCAGTACGTACGTATATATATATATATATCAGCGAGGAGGGACGACAGAGAATGCGGGTAGATTGATACAGCACTGTTTCGGGCTTATTCTGCCTCCATTCAGCCAATCATAACCCTGACCACCAGCAGCTGGGACCAGAAACACAAGCATGCGCACAGACGCACCTGGCGCAGTTTGTCCACCACTAGGGTCTACCAGATGAGTCATAAGCACTTCATCGAACCGAAGTTCATCAGTGCCTCGCCACCTGTCATTCTCTGTCGCTGCAGATCGGGTATTTATCAATCAGGAATGGGCGCACACCGATCTATTGGCTTCACAAAGCAAACAAGCTCCGTATGTGTGGCAAAGGTCACGAACAGGCAACCAATTACCAGGCCGAAGTCGACCAAGTCATAATAGCAGCGAGGAGGTTGGAAGGTTGCCAACTGACGGGATAACTCGGCCTTCACAGTCGACCCAGTGTTTTGTATTTGCGTGGATTGGCCGACTGGTGGACTGAGAGTCAGGTTGCAATAGGTCCTTTTTAGTGTGGCCTCTAGGACACTCCTACTCCGTGGGATCTGAGCCGGGTGTGATGACATGCCTAGGGGCGACTCCTGTCGCACCAGCCGTCTTAACCTTCTCCCTCCTCTGGTCTTCTTGATGTGGCCATGGTACCGGGCCAAGATGGGAGAGGAGGAGATAGCGCGGTCAATGCTGCGCAAGTATACTGTCGCTATAAACTAATAAACGCGCAAGTAATCGTCCCTGGTCTCATCCTTCTGTAGGCGTCTTCGGAATTCACGGTCGAACTGTCGTGTGTGTATGTGTGTGCAATCATCGACGACGCTTTAAACGCCACCACCACCACCACCACCACCACCACCACCACCACCACCACCACCACCACAAACACTGAGCCGCGGGATGCCTTGGGTGCACGGGAACGAACAGTGGCCTAGGAGGCAGAGTAGGACGACACCCCTGCGGCAGATTAAACAAACAATGAAACCTGCGCAGAAATGAACTTCAGTGTCGGAATGGGCGGCAGGCCTACTGCCGAGCTTGTGGAGGCGGAGGGGAGGCGGCAAGAACGATAACCCCTCCCCCGCCCAACCCCTATGTGGCGTTTGTGTTATTTTTGTTAGACGCAAAAGGTCCCAGGAGAAAATTTCGTCACAACTACTGAGTTCCCTCCGAATGCATTTATTTCTGCACCCTTTAATTTTGGATTTTTTGGCACATCGACGATTATAGGTGCTTCCAGGGCCTTTGGTTTTGCAACCAACTCTTCCTCCTATCTTCAAATACCTTGGCTTTTTTAAAGTCTTTTTTATTCTGCAATGGGGTCCCATGGTTTTTCCAGCTGTCGCAGCCGTGTAGATTAATTTATTGCATACACATCTTGACGAATATGGAAGTGATATTGCGGTCCAAGTAACTTATACGCGTAAACGGAGAACAAGTTTAAGTGTCCGAATGTTACTTTGCGAGGACACATGAAAAGTCGAAGAGTTGGCTTTTTGGGCGCGCTACGCAACAAAACAGTGTCTTCTGTATGGAAACTTTCTTCCAATTATTTCTACATGTGTTACAGCAGTTAACCTGCGTCCTATACCAAGTGCACACTTCTTGGCACCATGTCTCTTTTTGAATGTTACTGACACGTCTATCAATACATTGCGTGATCTATCCCATGAAATGTTAGCCGAAATTCTGAAATGCGTTTTCGATTAGAAAGGAGTACCTAGATAGGGTTGTAAAATTGATTAGCATGCAGCATAATCCTATAGCATTTTGGACTCGGCTTTTGAATGCACTTCTTTTTGACCTTCTGCAGAAATCGCACTCGGTAAAAATGACTACTTAAGTGGCAAGCATTTTTCCTATTGATTTTCGATGGTCTTATAAATTCAAATATATTTTATAGAAAACATGCACAAAAATGTGCTCTTTTACTCCTTTGGTACAAAATAACATTGTCTTCATATTGTATGCCTGAAGAAATTGTGTATCTAGGTTTCAAAAAAGTTTCTCAATTCCCGAACAATTTTGAGCCTGGTCTGCCATTGTATTAGAGTTGAACGATTTCAGTCTACAAGGTGCATACTTTCCGCGTAAGGAAAATTATATATTCTTCTATGCTTTTAGGAAGATACTCTATAGAGTTCAAAAAATTTGCAATGGATCCAGACTTTTTTCTATATTTCATGAGGATCATTGGTAAACGAACAGGTACCGTCCTGTATGTACGAACATCACAGGATCTTAAGAAATCTCATAATTGTAAACTTTTTTAAAACCTAAGTACACACTTCCTTCAGGCATAAAATATGAAGACAATGTTATTTTCTAACGAAGGAGTAAAGAAAGCATATGTGGTGCATGTTTTCTATAAAATATAGTTGAATTTAGAATACTATCAAAAGTCAATAAGAAAAATGCACGCCACATAAGTAGTCATTGATTACTGGGTGTGATTTCTGCAGGAGGTCAAAAAGAAGTGCATTCGAAAGCTGACATGCTATTGAGTCCGAAATGCTATGGGGTAATGCTGCATGCTAATCAAGTTTAGAACCCCACCTAAGTAAGCCTTCCCAATCGAAAACGCATTTCAGAATTTTGGCTAACATTTCATGACATCGGTCACGCACTGTAGTACCACTGATAAAGGGGGTAACAATGACATAACAAGTTGAGGTTGAAGGTGAGAAGAAGAAGCAGCGACCGTTTCTGGGTCAAAAAATACAAGCTTTATGCGTAAGCTTCCCCGGAGAGATTAAATCCGATGTGGATGTTTTACAGGGTCTCGTGCAGGTTGTTATCCACTGAACCGGCACCCCTGTCAGTCAACGAAAATTCGTCTCAGGTGGGCCTTTCTGTCCCACTCTATGCTATTTCAAGAGGTTAAACATCCTTCAACGTGCTTCTCCCTTCTTCCTCGTCTTCTGATCCCTTCCGTCCGGCGCTCATCCTCTGGTGGGGTGCCTAACAGCAGCATCAGCAGGTTATGTGACAAACAAAAGTCAGTAAATACCATCAAGAAGCATTCTTAACGGGGTTGGTATCACGCACACACCCGAACAAAGTCACTAGGATTTTCGGTAGAACATGAGAACATGCACACGCCAGCATTCCAGGTGGCCTTGCGGCATGATTAGTGCTAGTGTTGCGGCTAGGGGTTAAGGTTAGGGTTAATTAGGTTCACTGTTAGAATCAGGGATAGGTGAGTTGGGATTTTGTTTCTTGTTGGGGTTAAGGTTAATACTGGAACACGAGAATAGGTGCCTCTGGTGTCATGTGTAGCTCGGAGAGATCCATGTAACGTCCGACCTCGAAGGGGGTTCGGTGGCCGAGAGCTCACTCGCGTCCGCCTGGGGCGGAACGTCGGGGACTGGAGCACTCTGTCCGGTCTGTGAACCGTTAGGGTCGTCTTTCCAAGCATTCATTATCGAATAGCAACCTTCAGGCACACGATAAGTCGCGTAATACACTAAGGTTCATTTGAGGAGAGGAAAAAAAGAAGAGCGTGCAATGAGGGGCAGAAAAGGGGGGGTCGATTAGTGCAACAAAACGTCAGCTTCCGGGGAGGGACAGTCGACTGGAAAAAAATAAGAGAATGCAGACAGATAGTGTCCAGACACCAGGCACCCCTGCTCTCATACTTAGCGCCCTTGTCTATTAAAACAACCGTTCATGCCTGTCCGCTACATCCATATTCCCGTGTCTAGGTATTAGCATAAGATGATGCTGTTTTGCCCCAGTAGATTTTATAATTCTGCTCAACGATCACCGTGTACTGGAGAACCGTTTTTGCTGAAAGTTTTGAAAGTTATTTTCAAAATAAAGCAGTCCTCTCTCTCTCTCTCGTGAACCTGAGGCTGTTAATCGCAAGAGGGTCTTTCAGTTTAGTTTGCCTCACAGCAAAGGAGATTCAGGACATGGCTGGTGGATAAAACCGCTTGGCAGAATCCAAGCGGCTGGCAACATGCTGTTTTGAAATTAACTGTATTCTCACCGGGGAGATTGCCTGCGACCAAATCGGTATGACCAACCCGAGGGAATGCACTCCCACTGGTGGGTAGGAATGGGTCGTGATATGCTCTCTATATCCCCTACAAAGGGCCAGGCGGAAGATTTGCTGGACCGGCATCTATAAAATCGGTGGGTTAACTCCGACTGCATGCAAAAACTATACTCTACAAAAAAGGACTACTTGCATAGCTTGCAAGTTTCTCATTGATTTTCGATTCCCTTGAAAATTCAATTGTATTTCATGGAAACCATGCATAGAAATATTCATTCTTTTGCTCATCCAATAGAAAATCACGCCTTCTTCCAATTCTATGCTCGGAGGAACGGTATAATTCTGTTTCCTGAAAATTTCTAATTGTGAGATTTTTTAACAGCGTGAAATGACTGTTCATAAAACGTAATGTCTATACATTTACCATTGTGGCTTGTAAAGTTAACAATATTGCCAAAATCCACTGTTTAATTTTATGAAGCCCATATGGTTTCCTCTTAATACCGTAGAGAAATGCATGGTTTTTCGTACACGGAAAATATACGGCTTGTAGTTTTAAAGCCTGAATGCAAGTGTAATAGCAGGTCAGCTTCAAAATTATTCGGGAATTAAAAGAGTGTTTTGAAACCCAATTATGTTCTTCTTTTGAGCATAAACTTGGAAGAAGACGTAATTTTCTATCGAAAGAGTAAAAGAATGAATATTGTTATGCATGTTTTACATGAAATGTAAATGAATTTTTTGGGCATCGAAAATCAATGAGAAAAATGCATGCTATTTAAGTAGTCGCTTTTACAGTGTATAGTTTTTGTATGCAGCCGGAAAGAGGTCCGTTCGAAAGCCGGCTTCTGGGGTAACTGAATTATTATAGAATTATGAGGCTTGATGATTAGTTCTTCAACTCTACTTAATTACTCTTTTCGAAACGAAATCGCATTTCAAAATTTCGGTTGACATTTCATGTGTTAGCCCACCTACTGTAGTTTGCCTCACAGCAAAGGATATTCAGGACATGGCTGGTGGATAAAACCGCTTGGCAGAATCCAAGCGGCTGTTTTGAAATTAACTGTATTCTCACCGGGGGGATAGCCTGCGACCAAATCGCTATGACCAACCCCACAGAATGCACTCGCACTGGTGGGTAGGAATGGGTCGTGATATGCCCTCTATACCCCCTACAAATGGCTGGGCGGGAGATATGCTGGACCGGCACCTATAAAATAGGTGGGCTAAATCATGAGATTTCAAACGAAGTTCTGAAATGCGTCTCCGTTTCGAAAAAATTACTCAGGTAGGGTTGTAAAACTAATCATCCTCCAGCATAATAATTCAGTAACCTCCAGAGGGCGGCTTTCGAACGAATGCCTTTGCGGCTGCATGCAAAAAGTATACTCTCTTAGAATGACTACTTATGTATCATGCTTTTTTTTCTCATTGATTTTCTATGCCCTTAAAAATTCCATTATATTTCATAGGAAACATGCATAAAAATATTCATTCACTTGCTCATTCGGTAGAAAATTACGCCTTCTTCCAATTTGATGATGAAAGAGCGGGTATAATTCGGTTTTCAGAAACTTTTCCAACTCCCCGATAATTTTGAGCCCCGACCTGCCGTTGCACTTGCATTCAGGGTTTCTAAACTATAAGCCGTATATTTTCCACGTACGGAAAACCATACATTTCTCTGCGGCATTAAGAGGAGATTATACGGGCTTCATAAAATTTAGCAGTGGATTTGATCCATATTGTTGACTTTACAAGCCACATTGGTAAATGCAGAGTTCAGAATAATAAGCAACCTGTTCCAGTCAGCCGCCTGTCTTTCTTACTTACACGCATGCATTCAGTTTGGCCTCATCAGTTACGATCAGAAGAACTCGAAATGACAGAGGAACGATGTTTACCTATCTACCCTCATTGAAGGACCAAATACGGACTGCATCTTTTTAACTCTATGACAATATGGGGTCGTTGATTTGCCCATGTTTAATAATGTCAAACCGGTATGCACGGCGCTGCCACACCTTTGGAAAGGCACCTCAAACATCTCGTCACAGTCCAACTCCTGAACCTGTGCGTCGCTCGCTGACTTGTCTTTTTGTTAAATGACTCCATTTATCCGCGACCCCTAGAGACATTTGGCAACAGGAAAAACCGTGTACAAGGAGCGATCGTTGGAATATTAAGTTTACTCGCCTCCTCTCGCTTCCAATTCATACTCGAATCCATCAACAGAGACAGCTAAAGGTAGGGGGTAACGAACAAGTAAGAAATTTAAAAACTATGGGGGAAAAAATCTTACTACAGTGAGCACGTCTCCTTCTCTTAGACTGCCTTCTGGAACTCATATTTTTGCTTGAAACCCTCAGGGTGCAACGGGTCAGCAACGAGAGTTTTCTCACACCAAGAGTCGTGAAGATGGAATTAGCGGGACAATCCGCACTCTTGCTGGCAGGTAGCAACGGCAATTTTTCAATCAGGCTGGGAGCTGGCCGTAGCTGTTGTGTCCTCCAACCCAAGGTGTGACTGTGCGTGTGTGTATCGGCGCGGCCACTCAGTGAAGAGCAAAATATCGATTGGCGTCACGGTGTCGGCAAGCCAAAGTCTGAGGCACTTAAGCACAAATATTCGATCGAAAAGGGAAGTGCGGCCGCTGTTGCCGCGCCCAAGACCGATACACGTTATGCGACAGGCTGGTGTCAACAACTAGAAATTTCGAAAGCAAGCCGTTCTTCAGAGGGGTCTATGCGACACTTTCCCACACCTTCCTAACTGTAATGCCGTCCTGACAGGGTTTTCGAGAAAAAAGAGGATTCATCAAGGCAAGCCAAGATACTTGGAGGAAGTGTTAAACTGTGCTGACTGGCGACCCATTTTGGCTGGGCTAGAGTCTGCTGTCACAGTTGGCATACCTGTCGCGGCAGCTGCTGATGTGTGACCGCTGCGCACAGGAGAGTTCCGCGGAGTCCCGGGGGCGGTCAGCGCGTACTGATCACGTCGTGCAGATGGTCGCTCGGCGTGGCTGGTGGCACATTTAAAGAGGTGTTAAGGGTAGGGTATATAACCCCCCCCCTGGGTGGTTGTTCAAACGCCTACCTACTTATCTTAGTTAGGTGTGCTTCACAGCCGTTTGCCTGGCAGTAGATTTCAATAGGGGTTATGCAGGAAGCCGACTGTGATCTCCGATAGCGGTGTCGACATTAAAGATGCCGTTTTAGGCTCAAAGTTAAAATTTGGGTAACGGTCAGAATTGGTTAGTTGGGTTATTCTTGGGACTAGGGTTGTCAGGCACGAACCGTTGTTTGGGTTAGGATTTTAGGGCTTGACTTAAGGGTAGTGACTTTCCATTTAAGGCATGACCATAGTTGATGTCAGGTTTGTGGGTAACTACGGCCGCCCAGGAGGGGGTTACACATCATACCCTTGCCAAAGAAGTAACTGCCTGTGCGCAAAGTGAGTTAGTCACAGTTGTCAGGGACAAACGTCCCCTTAAAACCAAGAATTCCGGCTAACTGTCTCACTGTGGTAACCCCAACTTGTTTAAAGATGCCCTGGTCAGCTGTACTATGACGAGCGAACTCCATCGCATTTCCACACTTCTGTAGTCGGATTGTCGCCAAACACTTATTATTGCTGGAATCTGAATTCATTGCTTGGGGAAATGATACTCTCGACCGTCAGTCTATTTAGGTAGATGTGGCAGGTTCAATTGCTCACGGCAGGTTGGACTCGGGCGACAGGAAACTGCCCTGCTGTGAGCTGGAACGCAGCGGAAGCCACCCAACTTCACAAATCCGTCAAACTACAACACTATTCAATTTACTGTCAGAAAAGTGAAGATGGAACTGAATAATTAATAGCCAGGAGTACTCAGAAGTCAGACGAGGTGTTTGTGTGCCAGAACTGTGAATATGGCTAAATAATAAATAAGCAGGAGTGTTCACAAGTCAGGAGAGGTTTGTGTGTAGGCGTGTGGGAGTGATAGGTCTACATACGAAAGACAAGTCAGTCAACACGCGACCACGCCCATCACAGTGCCGACAGCTACGCTGGCACAGAGTAGCGGGCGCGTGTGGCGCAGCGGGATAACGCCGTAGGTTGGACAGTTAAATTAAGCTTAATGGTTGAGATTCCGCCACTTACACGACGGGAAGATGCCCGATTGTCCTCTCTGCTACGACGGGTTGGAACTCAGCTGATGACACCCAAATTCGCAAAACTGGACAGTCGGTTTAATCATTCAGGCCTGCCAAAATGCAACTATGTAATTTGCCGTCAGCAAAAAGAAGATGGAGTCAGATAGTGACTAGTCAGGAGTCGTCAGAAGTCACACGAGCTATGTGGCCGCTCCGTTTGCAACCGAGACAACGCGCGACCGCGCCCATCAGAGCGCGACACGCGCCCTAGTACGCAACGATGGTGTGGCAGGGCAGCGGGCGCGTGGCGCAATGGATAACGCGTCTGACTACGGATCAGAAGATTCCAGGTTCGAATCCTGGCGTGCTCGCCAATTTTTCGCATCCACACTTGCCGCGCACCGGTCCATCAGCCACAGCGGATAACCGTTTAATATTCATTAATTGCCGACAGGCAACTAGTTGTATACTTTAGGGTAAAGTGATTCATACTAACAGCACAGGCGATAGCCGAAAGACTTGAACCGTTATCCGCTGTGGCAGTGGAACTTCTGCCAAAATATTCACACATAAAAACATTGGTCTTAGCCTACAGACTTCAAATATACTGATCTATTCCAAGTTTGCAGTTAATATTTGTGGAAATTAAAAAGCGACAATTTCTAGATTGGAGTAGCTACCAGAAAGCACACAGGGAATGCTGGGGGACCCTCTGACGAGCCAAACCCGTCACAGCTGCGCCATGCAGCGACATAATATCGGCGAAACACGTGTGTATGGGCTTTTAGCTAGTACCTGTGCTGATAGAATGGAATCACCTTACCCTGAGAAAACTCTGTTGACACATATGTTTAGCCTGGTATGCTCTATCTGTGGACGAGTTCGCTACACCGGCCACCTTGGACAGATGACTTTTAACCCGCAGACGCACTAGCCTCCTCCTCACACCTAAGCAGACTGAGTTAAGGGGACCGAGAGGAAAACTGAGCACCAATCCTAGCTTACAACGGAGGGATAGAGACGACCGTCCTATGTGCTGATTGTGACCCTGGTCTACGAAATCTTCGTCCTTCCTGCTAGTAAACTACCTTTCCTAAATACGTGCCTTCAGTTGCACACTGTTCGCAGTCTTTGCAAGCACTCCTAACTTTCCTAACGAAAGCTAACGCGGGTGCATCGTAAATGACGCTGGCGTTGCGAACACGTCTATATTTTCTACAGGTACCATACAGAAGACTGCCACAGTAGACGCCTTGCCATTCCCATAGTATATGGCATCCGAAAATATACTACTTGCAAAGGCCCTCATGAAGCGACCCATAGGCCACAGTTCTACCCTCGACCAACGATATATGGCTAAATTTGCTATTACTTCTTCTCCCGGTGAGACGACGTGCTGGCTATCAACTAACCGGCGGAGTTGCTTCTGCAGTCCGACGTGAATATAGGGCATACGATGCCCTTAGAAGCATCTCGGGATCTGCGGCACAAGTGACCCAAATGTGTCTAGAAAGCTGCGGAGATGACTGTGCACTGTATTGGGCTGCAAAGCCCATCCACGCAACCTGGTCCGTATAAGTATGTGTGTTGGCAGTCGTCATAAAAGGTGACGTTGTCGGCGCTGGCAACGCTTTCTACGATTGAGACGCTGTTTGCTAGCGATGTTGACGGGCTCATGCTTCCGCTAGCGCTGAAATCCAAATCCAGTGAGCTGTTAGATGACGACTCCGTGTCGGAATTATCCGTTCGAGGACGTTTGTTTCTGGGAACGAGGAGGTCTACCCCGTCCCCTATTTCTTTGATATCCTTTTTTACATATCGTTCACGTTTGTGCCTTCAAATCTTGAATTTGAACCTAAAGGGATATCTAGCAAAAGTGCACTGGGAGCACACGCAGCATAATGCACGCACGCAGTGATAGCGGCGTGGAAGTGCGCGCGCCATCATTGCGCGAAAAACACAGGCGACCAATGAGTGCGCGGATAGTACAATAAAGGTGACCAATCACATTCCGATACCCTCTCCCCCCTCCCCCCATCGCGAAAAGTCGCGATAAGAGTACATCCAGTCGCTGTAGGACGCTGCTTGGGCTGGATTATGGATGGAAAACCGCCAACGTAGTGAGCAAACTTTGATGCACTCGGACCAGAATTTTAAGCGTGAAAAGTTGATTAGGATGTCGGGGGACGCAAGTAGAGCGTACGATCTGCCATAACGCTACCGCGGTATAGTGCCGAATCGCGACTTCTAGATACCGCCTTGATAGCTGCAATTTGGGCAAAATCCACGCCTAGGCGCAACACCTATCGCGACTTTTCCACGGCTGGTCGTTGTCGCCTGGATATGGATTTGCTACTAGGGAGCGTAACGAAAGTTCCTGTGGGGAAGTTTGTACTACTACAACAACAACAACTACTACTACTACTACTACTACTACTACTACTAATATTGCTACTATTACTACTGTTGCTACCACCATGAGAGAACTCCAAAAAAATAAGCTCGTCAGGATCTTCGACGCGACAGAATAAGGGGCGGCACCAAGACGTGCGCTCTCAAAAGCAGGCACTCCGACCCATCAACTGTCCCATCAATGTGCGAGCCTCCGACCGCCGTGTGCGTCACGTAGCTGCAAGACCAACAGGTAACATTGAATGGACTTCGACGGCCAAGGTGTTCATCGAAAATGCTTGCCGTTTGGGCAAGGACGCTCCTGCTCCTCGAACATTCTTACCCTTTCAACTAACCTGAACTAAATATTTGGAGATTAAAGATGGGGATAGATTTAAATGTATTTTGCTGCCCGCAAAACAGCTGACACTATCAGGCGAAAACTCCGGGGTCGAGATGGAACACTCCCACTCGAGCTAAAAAAATCCTTGTCTCTGGTCAACAGACGTGATGAGTGCACTTGACGAGTGCTGTCGCCCGACATTCGGTCCTCGCCCATTGCATTCTCGTCCTCTGAGTTAATGGCAGTCCGACTGAACCGGGCTGTGGCAACATCCTCTTTATCGATGATTTCTAGCTCCTCGATCTACTTAAAATCCCAGGCTAAATTTCGCTGTAGCACGGGAGCCCCTGTAGGATCTGCTCAGAGTTCCTCGGAGTTGAAATATGGGGCAGTTGGAGACGCTCCCCCCCTGTCGCATATTCGACCGTCGTGTCCGACGGTGTCCACCGTGGGCTTCACAGCAAGGTGAAGCAGGCACGGCGACTTGTGCGTGAATTAGCTTATAGTGGTAGTGGACTTGCACAGCATCTACCACGCTCTCTCCCCTCCCCCCCGACCTGGATTCAATGTCAAAACAAGGTCGAGAAGACCGGAGGCGGGGGTGGACGCAGGTTGGCGGCACGGTTGAACCCGCACCTTGGCGCTCCACTCCGCCCCCCAGGCCCACAAAGCAAATAACCAGGATTTTATCAACAGCAGTACTTGGGGGGAAGGGGGGGGGACGACAGGGGTCCCAATTTGCGCGACGTCTGCCGGCAACTGTGTCTGCCGGAACACCCCTGAAATGTTGGCATTTCTTGTGGAGCGCATTCCGATAACATCTGCCAGAATCCGATGTGGCCGTGTGTTGGTTCAGCGCATCTATCGCGCGGCCCCCGTGGAACGCATATAATCTGAAAGACAAAACATGAACGGGGCACATTTCATAAAAAAGCGTTTGCGGCGAATTCGGTTGCTCAACCTCGAAACAGGAATGAAGGCCTTAGCTTAGAACGACAACGGAAGACTTGGAAATGTGTAATTACGTGCAACAGCAACGTACGCTTACACGAACAGAGACAGTCCTAGGCAAGTACGAATGTATCCCCCGCATCTGTGGTGTGCAAACATCGAATGGGCCATAAAAAATCCAAAGGTCGACTGAGTGGTCATAATCCTCTCATCCACTTTTGAAAATGACAAGAATAACACTACATACCAAGACGAGGGAGATAAATCCATAGAAATAAGCTGGCCTGAAAGTAAAATTTGTGTGGAAAAACAACTTGGAAAATGCAGAGACATGACACTTTATGAACGGCCATTAGAAACTTTTTTAAAACTAGTATACAATAATACAAGAAGCCCTGCCAGCACCAGCCCCCTCTGGCCCCCTCATGGCCCCGCCTCATGAGGGGGCCATGGCGGGGCCAGAGGGGGCTATGAGGGGGCTGGAGAGGGGGCTATGGCGGGGCAAATCCCCGATGTGGCCCCCTCTGGCCCCCTCATCGGCAAAAAAAATGCGCAGGGGGACGCCTTATAGTTATCGTTTTTTGCCCCCACCCACGGCCATATTAGACTGTCTGACCGTAATACCGACCCATTAACGTCTAACTACTCGCGTTATAATCCTGATCACCCTTTTCCTAGACAGATTTTCCCCGGTATCTGTCCTATTTTATCCCTTGTAACCTTCTAGCGAACCCCATTTCGCCAAATATGTCATGGTTCATTCCGGCTCGCCTTCCCAAAGCCAATATCTCCCGCGACCCTTAGCGGACATTCACGCGTGATTGCAAACCCCCCAACGAACCATATCGATCAGCACACTTGAACGTCATTTATAGCTTAAAGAAAATTTATTGATCGATAAAGATAAAAATTTGATATGTACAAACTGTCATGTTTCCTCCAGGGACATATTTGGTAATCCGTCTATGTCGGTGGCGGGTATCTACAATAAAATGAAGCACAGCGTCCTATTAATTAAATTGTCAAAAAACATACTATTGAAATAAGGCATTTTAGTAATATATTTTATGATCTAAAGTAGTTTGAAGTTGATAGGCTCGAATAAATGCAGGTTTAATAGATATAAAGGAACGCTCACTTACAGTGTCCTCGGAAGTAGATTGTATCATATATTCTTCGGCTGAGCTGTAGCTGACGGGAAGCTGAAAGTGGCTTATAAAGACTCAAGTCAATTAATTTACCGTGGCATTTGCAGTGGTATTGTCTCTCCGCTTTGATCGGCCACCGCATCTGTCACGCGCGCCGTGGAACCAATCAATTGTACTCTTGCGAATTGTGTCGACGGTGCAATTGGAGAAGGCGGCGTGTTCACGAATTGCAGCTGAACAAGTAATCTTAAAAATAAATATCCTACCAATAACAAGGCCATATAGGGGGCTGCCGACGAAGGCCTGCTTATCTCTTGCTCCGCCCCAGCAGAAACTGAGGCATAGGGGGTGGCCGAGTAGAGTGGTCAGTAGATTTCTGACAAACTCTTTCTCGTTTCGCCCGTCTGTAATCGCCAGACGTTTAATCTACAATCCATTCAAATAAAGAAGTGTCAGTATATGTACATACCGCGTCTTGAGCGAAACTAGCATTCTTCTCAAGCTCACTGACGAAAGCCTTGTAAGCCTCCTTCGTACACAGAGGCAACTTCAGTGAAGGAGGCCTCGCTTCAGTTGGCTGACGTAATTCCTGAATGGCCTTTAAAATTTCCGCCATTGTAGCCTTAACCTGCGCTATGTCTGCCCGTAGTTCGACGACCTCCTCAGCAACGTAATCAACTTTCTTTCTACTCGCATGTCATCAAGGGTCAGAACAGTCTTACCGGACGCATTCAACATCGTGCTGCACCAGTGATAACCGTTTGTCAAACGCGGTCGTGCTGGGTTCCCGGGGCAGCCTTACGTCTTCTAGAAGACGTAATTTCCTACCGAGTGAGCAAAAGAAAAAAATATTTTTACGCACGTTTTTCATGAAATATAATTGAACTTTTAGGAACATAGAAAAACAATGAAGAAAGTGCATGCTAATTAAGTAGTTATTTTTTGCAGAGTGTATTTTTGCATGCGGGCGAAAGAAAGTTTTTTCGGAAGCCTGCATTCTGAGGTAACTGAAATATTATAGAATTATGTTGCAGGCTGACTAGTTTTACAGCCCTACTTAATTAATCTTTTCGTAACCAAAACGCATTTCGGAATTTCGGTTGACCCTTTATGCCATCGTTCTGGACAAGACATATGCCGGCCTTCTCTGTTCATTCATTTACGAATTCGCATTCACTTCAGGAGAAACGACGCTTATTAGGGTGATATGATTGGAAGACGAAGGGCGCTCGCAGCTGCCTTAAACACCAGCTTCGTGCTTGCGTATTCCCCGATATGTTAATGACCCCCTGGCAAATGTAAGATGTATGCCGTAGTGATGGTCCATTTCTTAGTTATTTTCCGCTAATAATGGCGGCTTGCTAGGTCAATGACCTAGCAGCCAGCCGTGATCTCTTCTGCTGTCACCTAAGTGCAGATAGAATCCTGTAATTTTACACTTCTGCACACTGCATTAATTCGGTTCAGGAGATCATATCGAGTTGTCGTGCTTGTAGAATGGAAATGGAGGCAACATTTTTACTTGGAACTTCGTCCTGGAGCCCTTGTGAACTGTTGAGCATCGGTGAAAAGCTGATAATTGGAATCTCACACGGAGGGAAAGGGGGAAGACGAAGATATATTCTACTCGGATGCCTCTGACCCTATCATCAGTCTATGCTTGGCTGGTGTTATGTGCGCGGCAAGTGTGGATGCGAAAAATTGGCGAGCACGCCAGGATTCGAACCTGGAATCTTCTGATCCGTAGTCAGACGCGTTATCCATTGCGCCACGCGCCCGCTGCCCTGCCACACCATTGTTGCGTACTAGGGCCGATGGGCGTGGTCGCGCGTTGGCTGACTTGTCTCGGCAGCAAACGTAGCAGCCAGGTAGCTCGTGTGACTTCTGACGACTCCTGACTAATCACTATCCGACTCCATCTTCTTTTTGCTGACGGAAAATTAGATAGCTGAATTTTGGCAAACCTGAATGATTAAACCGACTGCCCGGTTTTGCGGAACTGGTTGGCATCGACTGAGTTCCAACCCGTCGTAGCAGAGAGGATAATCGGACAGTTTTCTGTCTTGTGAGTCGCGGGATCTCGACCATTAGTTAAATTTAATTGTCCAACCTACCGCGTTATCCCGCTGCGTCACACGCGCCTGGTACTCCGCGCCAGCGTAGCTGTCGGCACTCTGGTAGGCGTGGTCTCGTGTTAACTGACTTGTCTTCCATTTGTAAATCTATCACCCGCACACACACACACACACGCCTCGTCTGACTTCTGAGTACTCCTGGCTATTAATTATTCATTTCAATCTTCGCTTTTCTGACAGTAAAGTAAGTAGTTGTATTTTGACAGATTTGTGAAATTAGGTGGCTTCCGCTGAGTTCCAATCCGGGACAGAAAGTACGAGCAGGCAGCATTCTTTCGCCCGATTCCAACCTGTAATTGAACCTGCCACTTCTACCCAATTGGCTGACCGTCCAAAGTAACACTCGGAGACCACCCGGGGACTAAGAACAACAGGTATATTAGAATGGTCTAAGTGGCTATCCAACTGTGGAAGTTCAGGGGAGTACATCCGTCATAGTACGGCTAGTCTGCACATCTGACCTCCGTGTTGGTTCAGCGGAACTCGCAAGTGACTCGTTGTAAGGGGGCGGAGCAGGGTGTCAGACGCCCAGGCATCAGGTCTGCCACTGTACTTTGACTCGGACATTCCACAGAAGTGTTGGACGGAGGAACAAGTGGGGCAGATATAGAGATATCCCTTCACGAGACAGTTTGGGGCACTCCTCACTAAGATATTTCTGCCGAGCCTGAAGCCAGCGGGCCACGCTAACGATGATGGCTTGGGAGAGTTTGCCAGTTGTCAGGATATCTCGGTCACTCTCTGGACGGAGCCTCTGGCTTAAACTGCACTTCCTCAGAGGGAGATCCGACGTCCCTAACGGAAGCCAGGAACTTGTTGACTTAGGGACCAGGAGATGTGCCTTTTGCGAAGAAGGAGACACGATCGCTGAGACAAAAGCTTTATTCGCCTGAAGTTTCGGAGTCCTGCTCAAACCAATCATCTGAGACTGTAGCAGATACGGGTGGTTCATGCGCAAGAGGTTGCAGTATTTCTAGCATGCAGTCGCCATGCTACCGCATACCCATGAAAATTAACAGCTTCCCCCTTTCATCAGAGATGGTTGCACTTGGTGTGGTGACTGTTTGATGACTGATATTCGTGTCGTATATTATTGCAACTGCATCACGGGTGTTGGATGTTGGTGTGATGATTGCTCGACCAACTGGCTGACTAAACCTGGCGTTGGGAATAGTGTTTGCCTGTTCTCTCCCCCTGTGGCTAATTACTCCGCGTGGGCTTAATCTCAGAAGTGAATATGGAGGGGAAAGTTCGCTGCACTTATTAATAGACAGGCGGGGGGGGGGGGGGGAGACAGGGAACCATGACTCAAGCAGTTCGCAGCTTACGATATTGCTGTCTTCCACGAGAATTTCAGCCTCGTCGCATTTGAGTGCGTTGCCGGGTCTCGTCGTCACTTGAGGACTTGCGTCATTTCTCTGCACTGCTGTTGCGTGTTCGGCCATTCGCGTTAGTTGCAGTCTCCCGGTTTCACCGACGTAATTGTTTTGTTCGCAGCCTTACCAGATCCGATAGAGGATTCCAGACGCACACACATGCATGCGTCCTATTATCAGCGCGAACACATGCACGCACTGGAAATGACAACAGCAGCAGCAGCAGCAGCAGCAGCAGTCCAACATACACAAATACACACAGACAGCAGGACTACTACCGCCAGTTTACCGCTCTGCATCTTTCCAGGACTGCGTGAGCAGCAAGTTGAGATGCTTGAGTGCTCACTGATATGGAAAAGAGCGGGGTAGGGGACCCCGTTGATGCTCCGAACCCCTCGCAGCTGCGTCGCGCAGCGGCACGACATCGGCGAAAAACGCGTGTCTGGGCTTTTGCCTTGCACCTATGCTGTCGGTATGATAAATAATTACATAATTACATACTACTGGCTGCTTGTTGGTGGTTTTTGAATATTGCGCATCTATTCCGCAGTAGCTGATGGATTTCAGCTTAGGTTTCCATATAAACTTTCAGACTGAGTCTGAAAAGATCTGTCAAAGTTCGTGCATTGATTTTCTCGGGAATCAAACAAGGCAGGGCCACAGACTAATGGATCGGAAATAACCGCAACTGTCTGCGCCACCTGTCTTAGCAACGACTGTGCGCAGCAACTGATGCTCCCAAATGCGGAATTTCATCAAAGACGCGCCAATGTTCAAAATGCCCCCTGAGCTCGCGGCTAAGGTGCCAACATCAGGGGTCCTCAGCTGCGGGGACCGCCGTCAAGGCCGCGTTGGCATGACTCACGATGACTAACTAGCACGTGGAGGGGCCGATTATCTTCAAAAAGGAACTAGTCGACATAATTGGGTAACGGTAGGGCGTTGGACCCCACGCAGCTGGCAATTCTAACATGTACACTAAAATCCAGTGAAACTGTAAACACCACTTATTATTCCCAGTTCCTATTGGTTGAAATTTCCCGAGCTTCCTGATGGATGAAAACTTGCCATCTGCGGGTTATTTAAAGTCCGTTATTTTTAAAATTGTCTTTTGTCTATTCTTCAAATTAACACGCACACTACTTTAGTTTTCTTTGTCGGTAATAACATTCTGGCCATATCATGCGCCCTGTGCGGCTGCTGGTTGGGCTAGAGAGAGAGAGCCCGCATGTCACAACGGAACGAGTGAGTTCCGTAAGAACGATCGGTGAGCGGCCCCTACCACGCTCATTTTCTTTGCCATACAACAAGACTTTCGGCCGAAATTTACTTACTTTCCGTGTTTTCTTGGATTCCGCCTGCTCCTTGTCCGGAGTGTTGTCCCGCCCATATAACCTCTGCCACCATTCAGCGTCTGACAGGGCCCACGGGCTGCCTTAAGTTAGTTGCCCATAACCACAGCAGAGGGGATTAGGTCGTGGCCGTTAACATTTCGTCACCGAAAATCATACCAACCCTCCTGAAAGGACTATCATTGTACCTTGTACTTCGTCATGAATAGTAATTACAGAAAAGTGCTTGTGACTGAATAATGCGATTTAATATAATATGCCGTTTTAAAGGGACAAAATGGAGTTGGTCGTGATTCACAGGCTCGAATCGAAAGGGTTACTTGGGTAGGGTTCTAGTACTAATTACCGTACAAAATAATCCCAAGATATTTAAGTTACTTCGGGATGTCAGCTTTTGAGCGAAACTCTTTTCGGCCGCCTGCCAAAGCTGCACTCAGTAAAAATGACTGCTTTGAGAATGAAATTGGAAGAAAACGTGATTTTCTACCGGATAGGTAAAAGAATGAATATTTTTATGCATGTTTTCCGTGAAATATTATTGAATTTTCAAGGGCATCGAAAATCAATGAGAACATTGCATGCTGCATATGTAGTCATTTTTTGCAGAGTATAGATTTTGCATGCAGCCGAAAATAAGTTCTTTCGAAAGCCGACACCCTGAGGTAACTGGATCATTATAGATTTTTGCTGCATCATGATTAGTTTTACAACACTACTTAAACGAGAACGCATTTCGAAATTTTGGTTAACATTTCATGAGCTAGCACATCTGCTCTATAAACTTTTCTCCCCGATCTTCGATGTCCTTATGACTTCAACTATATTCCATAGAAAAATGCATCAGAGTACGTACTCTTCTCCTCCTTTGGAGGAAAATTACGTTGTGTTCTAATTGCGTGCTTGAGCGAAGCGTATAGTTAGATTTAAAAAATTTTACCAATTCCATAGTAATTTTGGACTCGATTTGCCATTAAATTACCTTCAGGGTTTCCGAACTACAAGCCGTATATTTTCCGTTTACGGAAAATCGCACATTCCTATACACCATTAGAAGGAGACTATATGGCGTTCATAAAATTTCGAAGAAGATTTCAGCCTTATTGTAAACTTTTCAAGCAACGTTAGTACGTGCGGAGACATGAAATTTTATTGAACTTGCATTTCGTGGTCTCAAAAAGACTCATAATTAGAAACTGTTTGAAAGCGAATTATACCCCTCATTCAAACATAAAATTTGAAAACGACGTAAGTTTCTTCCAAATGAGTAAAAGCATCAATATTTTTCTGCATGTTTTCTATGAAATGTAAGTGAATTTATAAGGGCAAGGAAATCAGTGAGAAAGGGTCATATTACTTAAATAGTCACTTTTTACAAAGTATGGTTTTGAAGGCGGTCGGAAAGAGTTCCGTTCAAAGCCGGCATCCTGAAGTAACTAGAATACTTGAGATTATGTTGCACGGTAATTAGTACTATAGCGTTACTCAAGTAATCTTTTCGGGTCGAAAACGCATTTCAGAATTCCAGTTAACACTTCATGAGTTAGCACATCTGCTGCAGTCAAAGTATGGTGAGTGCAACAACATATAGCCGACGTGACTCCTTTACTGGTTCTCGAGGCGTCCGTGGAAACTGACACAGAAATTTATCATTTGCAAAAAGACGACATTAGCGCAATGAATGACTTCTCGCCAGTTCTCGCTTAATGGAGTGTCGGATTGGTACTTATTAACACATCCACCGGCCCGCCTAATGTGAGCACTTAAGCAAACATCAAAGAAACCCATGTCGGAAGGTGTGCGTTTTTGTTTACGTGTCATCTGGTCGCTGCATTAATGCAAGTCACGGTAGAGGAGCGAAGAGGAAAAACAATAAGCGACAAGGACGTTAAGGGAGAGACATT